ATATACATACATATATATATATATACATACATATATATCACAAACTATGTATTTGTATTAAAGAAAATATATACACAATCAAAGAAATTAGTAATTCCAGAAACAAATGGACAAACTACCACACATAGCACTGAATCAATGGAAGGGTGTTATACCTGCATATATATCTTCACTGATGTTTATTATGCGGGATGCCTTGCTGATACCACCTCTTGTTATGTGAAAAACTCTATCAAAAACATCCGGATGGCCATAATGCATCCGCACTCTATAAATAAAGTAAGAAAAAAATTTCAGAAAAGATGTAATCAAGAAAGGAAAGAAAAAACTACTAGTAATTAAGGCTTACTTTAATGGATTAGCAAGTACTCGTTGACCAAGAGTTACAAAACTTGTCTCTTGGTTGGACATGAACGAAGCCAAGGATGAGACACTGGACAGCAAATTACCAGGAAAACTTAGACATTCAACACAGTGCATAAGAAAAATGTAATGCAGAAAAATCACCAATATACCTGCCAGTAAAGACATGTTCTCTGACACCTAAAATTGTTGGTTTATGTTTGCCATGATCACAATGGAACTCCTCAAGAAGATTCCTCATCTTCAAAGCTTCTTCGAAATAGTTATCCTTCAAAACAAAACCATAAAAGATCAAAAGAAATAAGTCTATAAGGTAAAGTTTGCTATATTCACTTGCAAATGAAAAATTACTTGCACTAAGAACAGCCTAATTTAACCATGTAATTAATCAACAAAGGATTTTTGAACATATAGCCCTGACAAAATGAGTAAATGATAAATTGCATCTCCAGAGTGTCACATTGCATTCATAGCATGTAAAATCCTGACTCCTAGCACAGATCTCCTTGCGATCAAGGGTGCTTATTAAGGGTTGTTTGACCAAGAAATTTTAGTTGACTTTAACCACACTCCGAATGAACGAACTATAAAGTGCTACTCTTGACCAACTAACTGAAGGGAGACAATTTTTTAATACACTTTCAAACTATAGATTTTACAAAACTATTCGTCAAAAGGTACAAATTTCACAAGAATAGCATTCCAAGATTCTGAAACATTCTGAAGATTAACTCTCAACAGTGTATTAAGTGGAAGGGTCTATAGTTGTCAGTAACCATGAAATTGTCACCTTTTGAATTCAACATTAGGCTCATTTTTAAGGGTATTATATACAAAGATATTATAATTGTTTGGCCTAATTATCATAACTTGCAGTTTGGGTACCAAACCCATGCTGGTCCATGGCTGAACTGGTACAGATCTGATTCATATTGGTATACCTGAACCAACACTGGGCCATTTTTAAGGGTATTATATACAAAGATATTATAATTGTTTGGCCTAATTATCATAACTTGCAGTTTGGGTACCAAACCCATGCTGGTCCATGGCTGAACTGGTACAGATCTGATTCATATTGGTATATCTGTACCAACACTGGGCCGTTATGTACCATGATAGCAAGAAGGTGAAGGAGGAAGTAGGCCTGCATCAGGAGTCGCAAATGTCCATGTCTCATGTCCTGCTTGCAAATCCCATGTGGTAATCTTTAGATTCTTAGAATATACATATAAACTGAATCAGACCACCCAGAAGGGACAGTCCGCATCTCAGTTCATGCTTGGCCTGATAATATCAGCTGGTATATACCAGTCCAAGCGAAATCATTTTCTCTCCTACCAATGACCTTTTAACATTGGCAACTTTAAAACTAACTGCTAGGGCATTTGAGTTATGTATCAAAGTTTTTGAAGGTGTTAGCAATTTGGAGGCATAATTCCACAACATTCAACTAGTATAGGGGTATAATGCAGCAAAAAAACAAAAGAAAACTCCAAACAATTAGTACCACAAGATCACCTTATGCATAACACCTATGCCTGTCAATAACTATTGTACTAGATTAGCACATTCCAAGGCAACATGTAAAGCAACACAAGAAGAACAAAATAAGGAGACAGACAGATGATTAATAAAAAAGCACATAGATATTCGATTGGCATCTTCTGCAGTAAGGCCTTTACCTCGAGTCACAGCTTGAGATATCAATATGGACCATAATATCAACTGCTGGCTGTACCAATATGGATCCAGTATGTACTAGTGTACTGACACAGTATAACAACACACCAGTTCCCACCAAGCAACAAAATCAAGAAGAGAAGAGGGGAGGAGGGGAGAAGGACAAGAGGAGGAGCAGGAAGAGGAAGGGTAGGAGGAAAAGCAGACAAGAGGAGTCACAGAGATGCAAAGGATAACCAGACGGAAGAGATGGGGCAGTGGATCAACAATGGCAAGGCATAGCCATGACAGAAAGGTGGCAGAATGACGTAACAAAGGGAGGGGAAACTGATAAACAGGAAGCAGGGAAATAAAAAAGGGAAAAAAGGAGACAACTGTTGTCAAAGGCGCCCGATACTAATGTTGTCAAAGGCGCTAGGTGCTAAAAAGTACCAAGGTTCCAAAACGTTCAAAATGGGTTTTGAATAAGCTTATAGTGTTTTATGATATTTTCATGAAGACATTATAAGTTTGTTCAAAAACATTCTATCCAAATCAAATGAAGTCAAAACCCAGAAATCAATTCATACAAAAAATTTTCAAATAAGTATCATTATTAATTTAAAAATAAGAAAATAAATAGGGAGATCTCTATGTAAAGTTTTTTAATAGGTTTATTTGTGTTTTAAAACACTCTAAATTTACTCAAAAATGCTGTAATGAAAAAGATTGAATGGAGCTATTGATGCATTTTAAAAATTATAAAAAATAAATAAAGATTTCCCCTCGAGAAATATGAAAAAGATAACCTAAAAAATATACTCTTTCATAGAAGCTAGGGTTTCAATCATGTGAGGGGGGTTGATAACACGAGGGGGATGGGAGAGCTCTTAACTTGATGAATTGGTTGGGTCGAACCAATTCATCAACTCTGATTGCGAGAATCAAACGAATCAAGTCTCTCGATTTGGGCTCAATCTGAGCTAGATTTGAGGTCAGTTGGAGTGGGCTCAATCTGAGCTTGATTTGAGCGCCTATGCTAGGCCAGGCAAGCACCTGAGCTGCATGAAGACGCTCGCCTAGGCACCACCTGATCAAATCGCCTTGCTTGGGTCCATTGCAAGGCACTCGACGCTCGCTGAGCGCTCAATCACCTCTTGAAACCATTGTCTGGTGCCCAGTTTTATTCACAAAACCAAACAATAACAGGTGACAACCCTGTTTGAAATGGACTGGCCAGAGTCATCCCAGTCTACATCTCATTTTCTGGTTGGACCAATATATTGATCGATCAGACTGCGATTTTAATATCTTGCCTCACTCGCCCATATCCAAAATGTAGCATGATAATGAAATAAAAGGAGGCATACAAGTATTTGCACAATCATGCAGGAACAATTGGCAGTGGCACAATACGACATGTATTGGAGTAGGCCTACTCATGATACTAAAGCACAAACATATCCACTTTTTTCAACAAAGTAACAAGCATCTTGATTCTTGCATAAACTAAAAAAAGATGAACAAATACTCTAGGAAGAGACTTCGTAAGCTTATACTGAAAATCTTAAACAATTTTCACAAACCATAGGTACATTAAAACTTGCTTAGACAGAGAGATGGAATATCATTTCTAAAGAGTGCAACACTTTAGTTTGCTTGCATTACCATGGTACTACCACATTGTCTTGATGGGATGTCTTGGACTTGTACTAAAAGAATGATTCATAATGAAATGAACTTATCACGAGAAACCTTCACAATCCATACACCATTATAGAACTAACCAAGGTTTTTAATTTCGAATCATACTGCCCATACCAGGCGATATCAGCCTGATTACGACAAAGGAAGAAGAAGTGTCGAGAGAGAATCAAGAGAACCTCGATGCTTTTCGATCCGGCGCCACCCTCCCTCAACGATCCCGATCCAGGAGGTAACGGAGAATCGATGGCTCGACTTCTTCGCCGCATCCTTCGTGAAGGTCGGAGACATCTGCGGCCTTCGATGTCTTCGTTGAACGTTGTAGATGAAGAGAAGACTATGGTCTTCTCCTTGTCGCGTCGCGCCAAAGGCCGGAGGAGTCTGCGGCCTTCGACATCTTCACTGAACGCTGCAGACGAGGAGAAGACCGCGTTCTTCTTCTCGTCTGATGCGACGAGGAGAAGAAAAGGAGGCGACGTCATTGAAGCAATATATGTCTCCTTTTTTTTTATTTTAATAATAATAATAAAATATTATATATATATACACACGTATCGAGCGATACACCCTTGCGTACCGCATAATACGCTTGTACCATATTGTATCGAGAAAAGCTCGAAACACCGGTATGGTACGAAATTAAAAACTCTAGAACTAACATACAAAGAGCAAACTCAACAGTCAAAGTTTATAAGTAAAGAAACAAAAGTACATCAGCTACAATGCCACAAGATGAATTACGATATAAGCAAGGTTCACCATACCACCCAACATGGTCTAATATGAGCGATCCATACCGCTTCTCGGACCAGCCCTTATTGGGCAGCACATACCACGTGGTGGATCGACCGCTCGGTACACCTCTTGAATCGGGGGAAACGATCTAAACTCAATCAGTAAACACCGTATAGCAATTGGTAACGATCGGATTTTAATCGTACCAGTTCAATAGATCAAATCAAGGCTGCTTCAATGGTCAATTTGACTGTTGGACCCCTTTTTGAGAATGGTTCTGCTCTTTAAAACATCGCTCCCTCTCCTCTTTCACTCCATCTCACACTCTTTCCCCCTCTCTTTCTCACTCTTTCTTTCTCTCTTTCTCAATTAAGCATCCAAATGAATGATTAGAGATTCAACTGCAGGGATTCAATCATCCAAACATGCTTATTTGGTGGAAGATCTCATCAATTAAAGTATTTATACTCTTTCTATGTTTTAGTTATATTTTGACATAATTATATCCTTTTTAGTATCCAATTAAGGTTGATTAGTGTATTTCTCTTGATATAGATCTAATTTTGCCTAATCATAGCTAGCTAATAGTGATTATCATCTTTCTACATAATTTAGTCTCAATTAGGTCCATTACCTTACTTTTAATTGAGATTGTATTGAAATAGGATTAAAAGGGGTTAAAATAGGGTTTTCTGATTTTTCAGGTATTTTCTGGCCCTTTTTTGGCGAATTTTCAAAAAGCTAGTATGTACCGAACTGGGCAAAAATTGGCACCGCTGATTGGCATGAGTCGGTGAACTTCAAATAAAAGTACTAGATTTTGTACCTAAATTTGCAAATGTTCATATGCTAAATTAATGACTACCTGACAATTCAAATCAAAATTTATGCCATTAAGATGTAAAGAAAATCACATATGGCGAATGCTCACTTACTTGATTCATATCTATAGTCTGAAGTGCATTTCCACGAGTAAATATTACTGCATGGTTTTGATTTTCTGGTTTACCTTCACCAAGCTTAGGATTCCCAGGCAGTTTTATAGAATATATTTCCTGAAACCATGGGAAATAAGTATACAGTTAATTAATAAATTTTATGTAGACAGGTTGGTTGACTGAAAAAAGAAATGGTAACAAACAAACTGTGCATATAATAAACATAGTTCAAAAAGCTAATAAAGATATTTGATCACAACATGAAAGATCACTAAAATGTAAGGCCATCATGTTAATGCATAAGTATTCACAGTACACTAACCTGCAAATAATCGCTTCATACTTAATAACACATAATCATACAAAATGAACTAAACATAATAAGTGACAAAAATTTTTTTGTTCAAAATAATGTTCCTAGAACAAAAATCAGCATCATGCTCATGCCTTCAAATTCTAATAAATTATGTTAGTCCAAGCTCAATCACACACTATTGCAAAACTTCCCAAGCATTCATCATCCTCTAATATCTCCCAAACTTGAAATTACCTCACCTATTCTTAATAGTGCCCTTATTTTACCTCATATACCAATTGTCATCGTAACTTTGCACTGCAGTCATCCATCTCAACATCTCATTGGCACAACGTGAAACTTTCTCATATGCAACACATCAACTGGAATTTTTTGAGACAACCTAGTAACTGGACTTGGTGCTAAGTTGTAACTTTAACAGAGACATATACATAATCAGACAACAAAACCAATGCAACTCAATTTCGAAATCCTGTTCAAATTTTGTGAAAAATCACTTCTAGAAGACTAGAACTACTCCGTCCATGTTGAATTTTTGACCTGTATCATACTTAAATAGTACTATGTAAATTACAACTACTACAGAACCATTTCTTAAACAATTTTCTCATCTAAGGAATTAGTTGAAGCATTCCAAGGTATGTCATTTTTTTTAACACAGTAAAATCCGCAGCTTTATGTTAGATATTTCTTTCCCGGTATTAGTAATTCTCAAGTCAATTATAAGATAAATGTTTTTACATCACTGAAATTTGGTATCAATGTAATTAAGCAACAGTCGATGGTTTCTCAGTCCCATAAATAGGATTGGGGACAATTTCAAATATATGAACCCATTTAGCAAGAATTATTCAATGATAATTCACACCCTTCAGTGCAGAAGACAGAGTATGGAAACTGTACTAAAATCTGGACCATAGAACTAAGAAAATATATTGATTGTTTACATTCTAGGATCCCCAACCTCATACTTCTATTGAATATTCATCAACATATTACATCTACCCTTAACATTGCTATCAAGCAATGTTCTCATTTTCACCTGGCGTATGGATATGATCCTTGATCCCTGACTGTTCTGTCATGTCCCTAGTAGCGATCATCTAAGGCATGCAACATCTTAACATCGTGCAATCCACAAAGTAAAAAGTCAACAAAGACGAACGCATAAGGAATACACCATACATGAAAAGGACAACATAATCATGATCACAAGCAACACAAAGTAATCAGCTTTTATTAGGCACAAAAGTTGCCCGCAAGTAGGCTGAACGATCACACGCAAAGGAGGTTTCGAAGGTAGGTGTAGGCTCAATGTTCTCCAATGTGTGAGTCGCTTTCACATTCAATCTGGCGTCCATGAACACCAATAAGTTGTCATAAATATCAACAGCTTTTATTACGCAAAATAACCTCTCCAAAACAAGCCAAACAGTAGCAAACAAAGGGTTAGGTGTAGACCCAATGATCACATAGTACTTTTGTCCAAAAGACTGAGCACAATAAATACGTTGAACTACCCTTTAAACATACAACGAAAGCCCCATCCTGTCTTGTAAACAGGGTGTTTGATGTAATGCTCATGTCTGTCCGTGTCTTTTGATTTTATTCATACTATGCATAGCACATAAAAGACTAACAATAGGCTTAGCAACCCCATTTTGCTTGGTTTTGGTGGTCGTTTTAAGCTTGCAAAGATTGTGTCATGTGGGCACTTGTGACGATTTCGATCTATAGTGGAGTATTTTGGAACCTCTATTGTACGACCGTTCAGAGCCTGTGAAATCTATGTTTGTAATTTGCATTGGCTATGAAGTGTTTGCTGAAATTGTTGCTTGTGAATCCCGAGTGAAACACTTTCTCTAACTTATTTTCTCTTTTGTAGATCTTAAAGGACCATAGGAGGTTTTGAGGAGATTGACCTTTGTGAACGAACATACAAGGGTGCCGCACGACTTAGGAAAAACCAGCTAAGTTCGTGACAATCCAGTTCAGTGCCATTCAAAGGGTTCCAAGCATACTTATCAAAACCGAACCGAACCGTGTGGTTGAAAGGAAGAAAATTGAGAACTAGACCATTAATGGTTCTAATTCACTTATTTGATCAGTTATGTTAAAAAACAGAATTGAAGCAGTTGACCTAACCAGTTTTTAGATAACAAGCAGGAACCGATCGAATTAAATAAAATCGATACGATTTTGTAAATATAGCTAAGATTACTTAAATATCCTTGAGTTAAATCTTTTTTATTATTTGTGTAAGAGGGTGTTTATGTCAACTTTGAAATTAGGAGTAATGTAAGAAAGAAAGTGGCCTAGATCATACAATCGCTTCTCTCTTTTGGCCACCCTCTCTTCCTCCTATCACCTCTCTCCCCCACCTCCTCTTCCTCCAACTATCACTCTCTCCCCACCACTCCTATCGCATATCTTTTTTTCACCTCTTCTCTCTGGTCATCAAAATGAATACAAGGAGAATGAACCAAATGTTGTACAAACAAAAAATAATTTTGAAAATTCAAAACATAAAATGGTCTCCCAATGTAGAATTACCAAATTGTTTTTTAATAATAAAAAATATTTGTTTTGATCTATGAGAAATACATATGAAACCATTTACTCAAGTTATACCAATTATACTAGAGAAACTATTTCTTTTATAATGTTAGATAATTTATTTTGTTGGATTAATAAAATTAATTTTTAGACATTCAGATATTCTTAAATGTTATGTAACCTAAATAATTTTTTTTTATAATATTTGATTGATGTTAGGATTTTATTGTATTTAACAAGATTGAAGTTTTATTTTTATCTATTTGCTTTTATATTAAATTTAATATTTTACTTTTTTACGATATATAAATTTTAAATTATTTTTAATTAAACATGTAGTTCGACCAATTGTTCTACCAACCCAACTAGTGACCCAAGGTTTCATCAGGTCGGTCTCCGATTCGATTTTGATAACCATGGTTCCAAGGTGTTGAGATAATTTCGCATTGTAAATCAGAAATCAGCCCATAGCATACAAAGAAAATGGTTATTTTCGTTATTTTTCCCAATGCCATGCAACCATAGTCCGATGGCATACCGGTACACGGACCACCCGGTACCGGACGGAACGTGCTACAGTGCTACAGCATTATACTGTAGCAGTGCTACAGTACGAAGAAAATATATAAAACTGTTTGGTATACCCTGGTGTACCGCTCGGTACGCCTTGGTGTACTGCTCAATATGCCGGTACCGTACCGTACTAAGCCAATCTCGAAACACCGGTACGGTACGGTATTGCATACTTTGCTTCTGACCCTGACCATAGTACTATTTTTCCCTTTCTCCTCCTCCTCCCCCTTTTGGTATCATGGCACACATTGAGGTACCAGACCCAGACTGGACCACACTTTCAACAAACATATACATCAAAAAATCTTCAAGTTAAGTAGGGATATACAAGCTAAATAAATTTAGAGTGGGAAATATGAAAAATAATAATCCTATAAGGATATATAAGCAATATTTTTTCAGGGCTGCTTTTGTCAATTGAAATTATAATGTCATCATGCTAACAATCATATTAAATTTTGTGTATTGCAGGGATACATGCTACACTAAAATTTATATTTAAATATGAAAATATTTAATTTTAGAGAAATATGTAGACAATTTTGCCTAAACTAAAAGGGCAACTAATTTAAAAGTCACTTTAAAAGTATGGTCTAAAACAATGGTTCATGTGTTACATAAATACAAAGTACATAACATCAAAGAAAATGAAGAGGCTTGTAAAATATTGACATACAAATCATTTCTCATGTAAAAGAAGCATTAGTAAGAATGGCATTGTAAGAAAAAATTTACAAAGTGCACCAATCCTGACCTTATCCTTCCCATGGATGTCAGCTTTAACAAGTTTGGAATAATATTCTGTATGTGGTTTCCCATCCTTCACTGTCTCAACTGTATCAATATACGCAACTCTAAGAGCTTCATTCCTGGAACCATGTGAGAAACACGAGATAGAAAAGCTAGAATAGACGAGCATAGATACTATAAAGCAAAAAAATATCTTTTCTATGAAACATATATACCCAAGATACTATCTAACATATCCCAAACATCTATATGTGTTGGATTCTTTCTAGGCACTTCTTAAATACCTTGGGCACATGTCCACAATTTAAACTAATGACAATTTAAAGCTACATGGACCCTTGAGCAACATTTTCAATCCCTGAAGCAACATTTTTAAGATATTTCTGAAAGTATTTTCTAAATATACAAGTAATATGGACATTGTGCTTAAACTCACAATTTATGTCATCATATGGACCATGTTTACCATAGACTACTTAATTTAAATGCTCTGTATTACTTCGTCAAAACTCCTTTTGTACATAATTACAGCCATTTTATTAACTTTGCCAAACTCCTTTTGTGATATTTTTGCAACAAAAGAAGACCTTATGACATAAGTGGTTTATACAGATACAGACAATAATTACCAAAATTTCCTGTGAAAAAAATCCTATTTCTTTGAAGGATCCAGAATAATGTGTCAATATCAATGATTCCTAAATCATTCAGAACGTACACAATCAACCATGCAGGACATATAAATGCATGCTCACAGAAGTACAATATACAAACCGCTGCATTAACATTGCAATATCTGCAGCTTCTGGTTTTTGTTCTTCCTTCTGTTTGCCATAAATCTGACATGTTACAACGTATGTGAACTTCAGATCTGCCTGTGCACGAGCTTCTGGAGACAAATTGAATCCCTCTGCTATGTCAGTTACATTTTCAGTTCCAGCAATTGTACCATCTGCCAATTGAAGGATATAAGTATGTATAGACATATAGCAGTATGAGTCGAAGTAAAAATATCATCAAGTACAGACCTTCAGAAGTAATCCTCTCCAAATAACTTTGAAGCATAAGAGCTTTTCTATAGTACATCATTCCACGAACTGCAAAATTAACAAAAAGAAAACTGACACATTCGAACTTGGTAAAGTCCTTGTGCAAGCAAATATCCAACAAAAACAAAGCAAAGACAAGTAATCACCAGCCAAATAAACAACAAAGACAGAGATGATTAGGCTCATATCATCGGAAGTACAAACAATCTATACAATCAGAAGACAAATATGAGATTATAAAGTATAAGCTGGGACCAGATACTACAGTACTCTGACCAAATTGGTCAATAAATACCAATTCAGTACAATATCAACACATGTTATTGGAGTGGTAAATGACAATAGATGTGATGGTATACTGATTCATGTCATCTGGTATCACTGTAAAAAATAATAACATAATAGATACTAATAAGTATCGAGTCATACACCTGAGACACTTACACCTGGACAGACTGATAAATAACAACATTAAACTATCAGTTAGACCAAAAATTTAAACCATGGCAATAATAACAGTAGAATCTCACACAAACGATCTTTTAACACTTTCAGCATGTACCAATACCATACCATCCAATTGATATCAGTGATTTAAAAAGCGCTTGGCGCCATAAGGCGCCAAGGTCCAAAAATGCCCGAGGCGCTAGGCAAGCGCCAAGGCATTCGCCCGAGCGAAGCAAGACGCTAAAATATAAAAATATATAATATAATTAATAAATAATTATTTACATTTTAAAAATAAAATATATTATAAAATTAAGAAAATTAACAGTATTAAAATCAAAATAATATATTATTAATCTATTAACAGTATTGAAAATTAATAATTTCAAATAAACCTAACAATATTAATAGTATACAGTATATTGTTAACAGTATACAGTATACTATTACAGAAGGAGAAGGAAGTGTAAGGCAGTGCTGAGCCTGCTGACTGAGAAAAGAGGAAGCGGCGAGCGGCAACAGCAGGAGAAGGAGCAGCGAGCAGCGGGAGGCGCGAGCGGCAATAGCGGCAGTGTTTGCGAGCAGCGACAGCGACGAGCAACGGCAGCGGAAGCAGGAGCAACGAACAGCAGGAGGCGCGAGCGGCGATAGCGGCAACGTTTGCGAGCAGTGACAACGGCGAGCAGGGGGATAGGGAGCGGCAGCAGCAACGAGGGTTAGGGTTGGGTTGTCACTGATATCGGTTTTAGTTGGTTCGATTGAACCAACTTACCACCGGATACCAAACCAGGACCGAACCAGACCTAAAATCCTGGTTCGGTCGCCTTGGTTAACCCAGGCGCTCGCCCAAAACGCCCAGCGCTTGGGCTCGGGCGAGCGCCCAGGTGGCGCCTCTTTGAAGCGCGCCGCCTGGAAGATTAGCAAGGCGCTCGGGCCTCGTCTCGCCTCACCCGAGCGCCCTTTTAAATCGCTGGTTGATATACACATGTATATATATACACATACATATACACATGCATATATATACATATATATAAGATCAACAAGATTCAGTAATGGATATAGTTTTTGGAAGACCTAAATTGATTATTTCCTAGAATAGTACTAACATAATCAAATCCCATGTCATTTAGGGATGTAACTACAAACAAGAGTCCGAATCTTACTCATGGAGAAATGTTCAAGTTGATTTCTATTCCACTTACATATTGCCACATCACTTGATACAAATGTTGAACAAAAAACTTCACAATTATACTAAAACTAGAACAAACACAATATGAAACTAAGCAATGTGTACCACTTTTCTAAAATTAGAATAACAAAGTTTACCTAAATTTTCCTAAAAAATTAAAAATCTCCAAAAAAAAATTAAATTTTACAAGATCTAACCACTCAACGTAAGTTTCAAACTTTTTTGATAATTTAGAAAAAACAAAAGCATATCTCCTCTTCGATTATGAAGAGATGGATTAGTGGTTATTATCTCACTACAAGACATGCAAGTTCAGTTCATGCTGGCATGTCAAACATATATTTCCTCAATGAAAAAAAAAACCCCATAGCTTTATTAACCAAGTTATTGCTGCAATTTTTGTTATTTGAATCAGCTCTCTCAATATAACAGAAATCCATGTACTCCATGTTCTAAAAGCTTTACCGAACAAAAGAGCTTATTTGATTGGACAATGTACTAAATTCAGTAGCATATGCATAAAATTCAATTATTCAAAAGCTAAAGCAAAGATACGAGTAAACAGAAGCCCACTCTAGTGCAAATCACCATACAACCGTTAGGATCCAAATGATCCAGCTGCAAGATACAAATACATTAGTTTCCCTTTCTTCTTGTTACCTACTAGTTATAAGCTAACACACCATCCCGTTTTTACCTTGTTTCTTTTATCCTGATTACTTCTATAGATCCATCTGCCCATGTTCACAAGGCAGAACTGGGTAAAACCACACATCAGACTAATAATTTGCCACTTTTGGTTTGTGATAATTAATATATCTTGTAAAAGAAATGCTGTATGGGTAATAAATAACTTCTAACTACGTGGCTTATTTTTAGACACTAATTTTTCTATGCAACAATTGCAGGATATGAAATGAGATATCTTTTCATTTTCTAAATAGTGTTTTTGCGAAAGATAGTTTAGTTTTAGCTTGTGCATCCATCATATAATTCATATAAAAATCCATGCTTGTCATATACAATATAGCAACATTATACTAGTTGCTGTTTCCTTTCTACATCCTATTCAACTACATTTCAAGGCCTGTCATATTTGCAGTTTTGCACTATACCATCTCCAAAAATATCTGACTAATGGTTGATGATTGTAGGAGATATGATAAAATGAACATTATATATAGATTATCACCATCACACTCAAAATACTTGGCAACAAATATTTCTACCTTGTTTAACAACACAATACTGAGACTGAAGTTATTAGTCATACCAGTCCTTGCTAAAGTTTGACCGCGATATGAAGCCCAGAACCGAAGCTCCAAAACATCAGCTGGACTATGAAGAAGCTCAGAATCTTCAGTGTCTTCTTTTCTTCCGATGCGAGATAGAAAGTTTTTCCACTCATCTAATTAACAAGCACAAGTATTTCAAGTAATTAGTGATAGAAGATAGATAGATCAGTTCCAGTAGCTGAAAATTGACATTTAGTACGAAGTAGTCTCAAAACCAGAATTCAATAACAAGGGTATGAAATTTCATTGAGTAACCCATTAACATAGTTCGAAGGGCTTTGGTACAAGGATAAGGTGCTCATTTACGAACTAAGAGATCAAGGTTCAAGTCACAGAAACAGCCTCTTTAAATATTTAAAGGTAAGGCTACGTACATTAACTCTCCCCAAACTCCGCATTGATGGGAGCCTCGTGTACTGGGTATGCTCTTATTTAACACATTAACATAGTTTCACATGCCAACTACATATGTGAAGCATACTACAACTGAAAGTTTCTTCTAGTTCATATTCTCTCAAGAAGTCACACCACTTAAGAAAAAACTTAGACCATAGACTGCCATTAATCTAGAAAGTATTTTAGTTTGACCAAAGAAATTTATCCTAGTTCGCATCTCCATGCATCGCCCAGAGGGTGAAAAATAAGTGAAGATTCTATAGGGTCAAAAAAATAGTTTGCATTGTATTCATCCAGCAAGGGCTATTGCATGGAGCCATGAAGTTCACAGCACCATCTGACTTCAAGGGTGAATATACATTAGAATAAACCACAATCTAAACAATTTTGACAAAAAAGCTTAATTTGCAAAAAAATTAGAAGCTCAACGTTTATAAACACATTTAGTCTCATATCGGTTGAGTAGAGAACAAAGGTCTCAAAAGGGTCATGAGCTGATCAATCAGTGAACTTAGTCTCTAATGAGCACTTATACTATATCCTTAGTGTCCCCACATGAGTAGCTATGAGACCAGTCGCCTCTATCATATGGACGAGTATACAGTACACAAGTCTGTCATGTTATCTCGATGTCCCTCTCGAGTAACCTATGATCAGGATTATTTAGGATCTATGTTTAAAGGTGAATCGATCTCATTATCATGATTTCATCACGATTCGATTCTCATTGTACAGATTCATAGACATCAAAAGATATATATGCAATAAGCAATATAAAGTGAGAGAATGTCATAATAATAATAAGCAAAAAGACTACGTGTCATGTCACACACGTTATCACTCATGTGATTGGCTTGCAAGTTACCTATGCTAGCATGTGGGCTCACATAGATGAAGAAAAATGATGACTTATCAACCAATCTAATAGAATAATTGAATAAAAACTTATTTAGTTAGAACCACTGATCCAAATTGCTAAATCCATGTTAAATAGTAGTACATTAGACTCCCATCAGACTTTTACAAGTCAATGTAAATCTTTGCACACTGGGATGTTATAAAGTTACAATGACCCAAAATGCTTAAACCCAATAGTAGTGAACCCATAGTACTCTTATACGTAAATCAAGTCCCTATCTATTTCTGATATTAGACTAAGTAGGAGTGTTAAATGACACCCATCATGTGGCCCAAGAGGACTAAACTACCTAATTGGGAAGCATTGAGAAGCATGTTTAATCACAAATCAATTAAAGAGTAGGAAACCACATCCTTATGAGCCAAGAGTTACCACCACCGTTAGAACTAAGGGATACAACAAACATGTTCGACATACGTTTGTGACCCTTTTTTATGTTGTTATCCATTGTCTTTTAATATTTTCATGCATTTTGTCAAAGGCAATTTCTTCAGGGCATGTAGTGTTGTCAACCCCATTTTGCCTTGTTGGCAGTGTTTTTTGTTTTTCATTTTTGTTTGGTAAAACTCAAATGTTTTTTGTTGTCTATAGCATCGTATGTAATTTCGAATGGTACCACCCAGTATGGGTGGTACGTACCGGTCCGACGACATACCGGTACGCGAACCGCCCGCTACCGGACGGACCATGCTACAATGCTACAGTAAGAGGAAATCGCTCGGTAAACCCTGGTGTATTGTTCGGTACGCCGGTACCGTACTGTACCGAGCCAACCTCGAAACACTGGTACGGTACGGTATTGCATACCTTGGTCTATAGTAACAATTTACTCATATCAAAATAGGACTACTGCATTAACAATCCTAACCATGTTCCAAGAACAATCACAAGACTGATGTTGAATGGTCTCAAAGGATGTGGTAACTATTGGAAGTAAGGTTTGTCGTACCACAATATACTGCTCAGTACGGGCGATATGTATCGGTCCGATAGGAGACCGATACGGGCGGTACATATTGGTCTATTGATATGCTCCACTATTCCTTGTGTCGATGTGTTGGTACGTATCGTATCGACGACCGATTGATACACTAGTACGGACCGGTAAGGCGAATCATGATTGGAAGTACATAATTTGAGTAGACAATGCAATGAAACCACGTGAGTGTGAAAAAAAGTAAAAAAAAAAGCATATGCACAGATTTTTTTCACTCAAAATTGTGCAAGCCTACCATTTAATCCAACTTGTATAGCCCTACTTCTGTAAAATTCTTCACAATTTTCTAAAGATAATCTAACATGTATAGGCCATTTTTTTAGCATGACATTGGTTTTGAGGTCTATAAGTTGGAATAAGACCCATAAAAACTAGAAACAAGAAAGGATTATGGCAACGTTGTCTTCAATATTAAAAATGATATGTAGAGTGCCCCCAAAAATACCATGCATACCCTGCTCTTTTCTGCCTGTACCAAGCATTCTACAAACACAATTCTAGTGCATACACAATAAAATGGATGCATGCTACAAGCTATTACACAGTTTTGCACAAAATAGGAATACTAAATGCTCATAAGCTATTGACACCTTATGGCCTACAGTACCAACAGATGTTTTGGCATATCTAAATCATATAGAGAACAAACAATGGTGCTTTTACAAACTTATAATCAATGATAAAAAAATGGTATATGCATCATACAGGGGATATCCAAATTAAAGTACACTTTGCATGTTATTATATTATAATAGTTCTTATGACAACAAAATAAAAAAAAGAGTACCAAAAAACAAATAATTTTCTTGATAGTGGTGAACCTCAAAATATTTCAATAATGTCATTTCTTCCACTTTTCAGGAAAAGGATTGGCAAAATCCCAACCAAAACTCATTTCATTAAGGACAATGAATATATATAATACAGTAATCTCAAGAAACCTGGATAAATCTTCTGGAGGTAAAACAGTGTAGATATCCCATCCTCATTCTTTTTATAGAGTTCATCCAAACTATAAAGCACAACCTCAGAATAATATGGCGTAAATACACTGCAAAGGAAGACAGTAAAATTTCCTCAGATATGGATTAAACCATTCTTTTGCAAGAACAAACAGATGGACAAACATTTTGAAGACGTTTGGAATTGCTTTGGACCTGAAAGACAGCATTTCAGAAACTGGCCTGGCAGCCGGCATTTGCATAAAGAGAGAGTTAGTGAAATATTGCAACCTTCGCCCAGCTTCCAGGTTTCTAGGAACATTTGCAGCAGATTCTTTGAAGGTCAGAAGTGCATGCAATCTCTTTATTAATGCTTTCTGCATTGTTTGCATAGTTTAGCGGAAATCACACTCACAAATGAAAATAAACTCTAGGATAACTGAAAATGGTAACATGATTATCATCTATGCAAATGGTACTGCATAACACGATACAATATAACTACATAATACCATTTCAGGATCCTTGGGCCACTTCAGATTTGAGAAGAGATGGCCATCAGCTCTTGCATTTATAATGTTATTCCAATCATCAATGTCCTCACTTGATCATAAAAAACAAGCCATTAGGCCAAAATTAAAAAGAACATATAAAAGTAATTATTAAGTTATGAAATCTGTTGCAACACACCGCATATTGGAAATAAGAATCTCATGATGAACCACTTCATAAAGATCTTGAGCAGCTTTGACGGCTCCTTGCAACAAATTAGGGGATTCTTCCTCCTTCTGAAAAAGTAAAGCATAAATAATGAAGCAAGAACATAACTAGTCATGAAAAAGCAAATCACAATTGAAACTAGTGTTAGCAGTTAAGATGAACGAAGTAATAGATAGAAACCTGAGACAGCAATGTACAAGAAGTTTAAATGGTGCAATTCAAAATAGCAAGGTCTCTTTTGCAAGGCCAAAAATTGTGGAACAAAAGAAACAATGTCAGCACGAGACCTTAAAGACAAATCACTATATCAAAAACATTTGCCACGAATAATGACAGTTTGGAGGTCAACTAAGCTACAAATAGAACTGAAGAATATAAAAGTACATATAAAGTACATATGAACCATGAACAAGCCTCGGAACCACATGAAACTGAGAAAAAAACATCTATAAAAAGATCATGAAACTCACATGGCTTGAACAGTAGTGGTAAAGGGTACAAATGTAGAATTGCAAAACAATAGACATACCCCAATCTCCATAAACACCTGATCGACTTCTGTAACCGACCTTAAACCTTCAACAAACAGTTCCTCATGGCCATTTTCATCTTTTTCATTTTCCATATTATATCATCTACTAATTCTATATGTTCCTGTCTATCCACTTCCCTCTTTTACCACTATTAAATGAAAATTCCCCTGTTTTTCTGTGTCCCACTTCCTCGTCAACACTCTTCTCTTGATAATTTCTCCAATTCTCTTCCTCTCTCTATATTAAGGAGCAGCAGCACATACTAAAAAGGTCAGATTTATCAAGTAAGTCTACCAATGCACAACCTCACCAATTAAAAACATAGTGGAGAAGTTATACAGCCACAAGTGCTAATGAAATCAAAGAAACCATACTACATACAATCTGAGATAGACAGTAGAAAATAAGTTTGTTAAACAAGGAAAGCTTTAGACATAAATGTTATAGTTGACAGAGTATACCAAAAACCAAGAGAAAAACTTCTTTCAACAACATACATGTGTAGGCAAGTGCCAATCTAATGTTTTATTCTAGTGTTTTATTCAAAGGCAAGTGCCAATCTAAGAAGTACTGACACATCAATTTTATGGGTGTATCCGTGTCGAACACGTGTCAGACACGAATACACAACCGACATGACCGGACACGTATTAGACACGTCTGTTTTTATTTTATTTTTGGACACAACATATCCGTGTCAGACACATACCTCTCTCGCACCCTTCCTCGCGTGATGCCTATGTGCGACATTGAGCTCACACCTCCAATGCCAAATGCAAGCAAGCCCATGCCTTCCTCCTTTGCATTATCCTCCTTGACGACGCATCAGCAAGCTTCTTTCCTTCCTTGCCATCTCCCCTTTCGACAACCTCGATCACACCAACATTGACCAACTGTAGCTCCCTCCCAACCACATCTTATGGAACGCAATGATCCGTCGCAATGCTCACAACCCTGATCCAACTGCCACCCTCTCCTTTCGCCTTATGCTTTGCACTGACACGCTTGAGCACAGGATCAAGTTCCACAGGGAGACCAACAAGGCAGGGCAAAACACTAACATCTCCGAGCTCAACGCACTACTTCCAATGTACACCAGTTGGTGACGAAGAGCCTCAAATTGGGGATCACTCCATATTAAAAACTACACATGTCCTCATCATGTCTGTCATTTTTTTTTTTAAATGGCGTGTCATGTCGGTGCTTCTTAGGTACCATTACAAAACTACCAAGTAAACAAGTTTGTGCCATATGACATGCCCAAACATGGCAAGGCACATGTGGGGCCATGCAACTAGCAAGGGCATGGCATGATGCAACTTGACATAATGGAGCAATATGCATAGGGTGCCCATTGCTAGCAAGCACAGAAGAGGGGCAAATTAGGCTCGGGAATAACTAGAATAGATCGATTACTTCTATTTGCCTGAATACTAATACCTATGGCATTAGATAGATAAGGTTTGTCATGGGAGAGATAGACCAATATTTTTTATTTCAAGTATCGAGCTCATGCCGATTGATGGCAAGACTAGTATGGGTCAAGTCCGTTCCAACATAACGACACCCCATGCAACAGACCTGAAGACGGGAACATAAACAGTTCAACTACTCTCTTTCTCACTCCTGTCTTCTATATCTTTTCTACTTCCTTTCCCATACATTTTTCCTGATCTCACCATCTCTTTTCATTAACCAAACTGTTACCTTGGAGGGACATCCTGTTGCAGCCCCAGTTCGTATGTCTCTCATGAACAGGCAGTATTGAGAGTGCTGCCTATAATTGCTACAATGACCCCCTGGTATATCCAGATCTACGCACCCTCACAAATGCTTGGCCACTACCACTCTGATACAAAGCATACTATCCGCAGATCTACAGGTGTCTGGTCAGCCCTTGCACTTCTTCCCTACCTTAACTTCTATTTGTGGTCACAAATAACTTTATCCAACTCTTGTACTTCAATAACATTCTTTTGTTTTCACTTTTTATTTTGGTGCTACTGTCTAAGCTTCTTTGTTTCAACATCACTATAGGCGCAGAAACCTTTGAAACTACATTACCTGCCTTGTTGTCAACTAACTCTGCATATCTAATGGTTTATAAAATTCCTTCACATTTTTCCCTTCATAGCTCTTCAATTGATATATTTACTGTTTTGGGTTGTTATAAGCAAACACTTCTGAGACAAAGCATCCATCATCTCAAGCAGAATTTATAACTTCCTTTACTCTCAGTATCTATTCAATCCAAATATTCATTTAATATCACTTCTATTTATATAGTTTTTCCATTTTTTTGACAGGCCCCTCAGTTAGGAGAATATGATCCCTTGAATGTTCATTAGGTTTCTGTGTACTTTTCAGTTCAATTCCAAGTTTTTGTTGACTATATTGGCAAAATATTGTTCAACCCAAATTATAAGTGATTATAATTATTTGTATCTTCATTTAAATTATGTGACCATTTTTCTAATCACATTCTTCCATGTTTTGACAGCACTAATTTTCAATTTATATTATAAGTGATTAAATTTCTTTGAATGTTTAGTAAATAAATTATTTATATTTTACAATCTCTTACATGTTCTTCATAAACCTATATCTAAGATGCTCTCCACCTGAATTACTCATAAAAAATATTCCTTTAAAAGTTCATTAAACATATAATTCCTCTGTGTATGTTATTTAATGTTCATTAAACATCCTTTTAATGTTCATAAAAGATGCAATTTTTCTGTATATTCCTTTTCGTGTTCATTAATTGATGTCTTTCTCATATAACTATAAAGAGTGTCGATATTTAAGTTTCCTCTCTTGATACGTAAGTTTCACATTAGTGGGTTCCATCAGCTTAGTTTCACATTAGTGGGCTCCATCAGCTTCAGTTCCATGAACCTTCTAGTTAATCAAATAAATTTGCCAATATACCAAATCCAACAAAAGTATGCATCACATTGAGGAGCATGATGCAAAGAGTGAACCACATCATTCAGCATTTTGGAACACTCTAAACGCTGGGTACACACAAGTGCACCAATTTTATTTTTAGAAGCATCAATGTCGATAGCTTTCTTCCTTCCAAAAAGGTGAATGTAACTTGTAGCTAAAGAATTGTTTTGTATTTAGATATACTGTTTCTTTTTTTCATGTAAATAATAGCACTTGTGCATGCTTATATTATTCCTCGACTTCATTTGTGAATAAGTTCTAAAATGCAATTTCAGTTCTTGATCTTTATGGGCTCGTCCATTTCAGCAATGTATTTTTTTGTTTGAAACATCAACCCCATCATCCTTGACTGAAATTTAATAAAGATAATTTTTAAAGAATTCAATTGAAATAATATTATGTTTTCAATTCTAAGTTCCTTCCTCACTGACAACTTAATCGACCAGAAGAAAATGTTTTGCAACGTATAAGAAAACAAACCAAATCTCATATCAAAATAACAAAAGTGCTCCATAACTAGAAAATTTTCAAACGTCGTATCAAATACCAATACGACAGAAAGATATTATTCACTGAATGTCACAGGCATTAGTAAAAAAGTAACAACCTAAAACATTACCACAACTGCTAGTTAAATGGGACTACAAATCTCCTTAAAAGAGAGCATAAACTTCCATTTATAAAAAATCTTCAAAAACACAAAAAGAAACCAACTGAACCTTTTCTTTTTAAGCCCACGACATTCAACACATTAAACAATTTTGGTTCATATTAAAAAGCAACATTCTCAGAGACTATTCCAATCAATCACATTTCATACATTCAAGAGGATGGACAAATTTGCAGATCTACAACAAATGATCAACTTATCGTCCAGTCATGACCACAATTGCAACTTCAGATAAGTCATAAGACTGAAAAATAAGAGATAGATCTCAGCAAAATTGTATATTTGGCAGACTTATGACTCGTAATTTGTTACAACAAAGCAAAATAGGCATTTATAAACAGGCTTAAACAAACATATTCAAATAATCGACAAAATTCAGCACATATTTATGAATACCAGCAACAAGACACCTTTATCCATATTTGCATATTTCATTCATAGACGTCCAACAAAATTTTAAAAAAATGCACCAAAATAAATGTAAATTGTTCATGATAACTTTTGAACAAAACCAACATTAATGAACAGAGGTGGAGCACATACCAATATACCAGTCAAAGCAGAAATTCTGGACATCACAAATTGCAAGTTGCTCAACCTGAAATCTAATTGTAGTCTATCTTCCTTGATACTGTTCTCTATGTTATCATATATTTTTTCGACCCTAAACAGTAAAAGAAAAGCAGCAAAATTTTCTAGTAAAAAAGAAGAAAGGGATGTAATAATCTCCACTGAAAATATTCTAACAAACAGTAATCACTATTAAAAATATAGATTACCACAGGCGGCCTTCGTTCTCAAATACAGACATCAAAATAACTTTCACACTATGGTAGCACTCCTCAACTGCATATCGCATGTAATCATCTCTAGAAATCTTGAACCAGAGGTCCGCCTGTAAATCTTTCGACTCTGCTGCGATATCTCTGGCCAAAAATATCTGATCAAAACAAGATAAGAACATAACATCAGAAAATTAAATCTACTATACACCTAGTCTGTTGTGGAGCAAGGAAAGGACCTTTATTTACCTTGCTAGCCAACAAGAATAGGGGCCACTGAACCATCAGAAGAATTTTAGAATTCTTTGGCAGTATAAGCAAATCCCTCTCTCTGTAAATTTAACAGAGTATTATAAACCAGAAAATATTATACTCGATTACACAAATAAATAATGGTTCTTGAAACCAGATATCTACACTCACGAATTATTAATATAATCTTCTTCACGCAAATTTTCCACAATTTTATTCCAGAAGGGAGCAAATCTAGCAGCATCAAACTTATTTAACTCCACACCCTTCAACAGTGATCATTAGAGTTAATGGCAAGAACTATTATGCTTGAAAAATAAACTGAATAAGAAGTTAGAACACCAAATATAAAGGGAAAGCAAAGAACTTTTTAACTCAACAACAATGAACTTAACACAAGACTAGATGGTTTTGGTAAAGCATATATAGGTTCGGTTCCTAAAGGAGTCAACACAATTGGCCTAATTATTAAATGGGTTAGATTGGGTTTTAGAGATTGGCATAATTGTCCAAATTGATCTTATTAACAATCATTTAAATTTCACAAACAGGCCATTTTTGTATGACTCTGTCTATCTTATGGTTTGTAATTTTTCCCAGACAAATATTAACCTCTCCAAGAGTCAACTGGGATGTAGACTGCCCCATTTTGGACTGCCCAAGTCTGGCAACCCTTGTGAACCAGGCCTACCATCTGATTTTAGTCCTATGGTAAATCTGGTTCCAGGTTTTTTTGAACTTTACTTTTCATAATTTAAGGTTAACTCTAGACTCCAATCCCTTCAGAAAAAACAATGTATTACCTGACCAGATGAAGACAGCTGCCTCCTGTATATAAAATGGAAGAAAAGCTTCAGAAAAAATTCTTAAGAAACAAAATAATCGGGTCTTAAGCAAGTCCAGACCTTTTTGGGAGAACAACATGAAGGTTGGTCATAAATGCTCCAGGAAATTTCTCAAAAAGTCTGTGGACAGCTTCCACTGATCTGATCTGAGAACACACATGGTGCAAAAACAAAGACGTAATGAAGGTTCTTACTATGTTAAGTATTAAAAAAGTGGACTGAATCAAATAAGTTACAACAAAGTGCTTATATTTTGCTTTCTCAAGAAAAGGATCATCAGAAATTTAAGTTTTCAAAACTAACGATGGAGCTAAAGTGTCAAGAAAAATTCATATAGGAAAACAAAGAAATTGCAGGTGTGGAATATATCTTTACATATGAAGTCAAAAGATGCCAACTAGGATCAAGATACAAAAACAAACAGAAGCTTATAATTGTGAAGAAAAATAATAATTGCACTTTAAAAAACATGCTGATCCAGTTTCCAAATAGTAATATATTCAGATTGGAAAATGTAAAACCAAGTAATCTGCAGTGTTGCACAATTGCATTTGCTATGAGGTTGTTAAGCTCGTGCTATAACAACATCCACGATTCATACTTGAATAAACCTACCTCACCCAAGCGATCTCTTGCACCAAGTAAGAATCCGTAAGCTGCTGACATCAAGGTGTAAAAGATATGAATATCCAGAAGATAAATCTGCAAAACAGAGTTACACATTGATAGAAAATCATGTAAATGTTATTTGACATGTTACTAGGATATCGTAGCTACAACACAACAAAGAATAACGTTCAATAACTTCAAGGAATATATTTATACTGTAATAAACCAATGTGATACAAAGATAGTCATACTGTTACACATTGAAGCTCTCCACAATCCATCCAACAAAAAACATACTATTACAAAATAAGTTGGTATTGGAATCATACATCTTCTTTTAGATTAAGTGGAACTAAAAGAAATTCTCTAAACTATAACTCAAGAGTATCCAACTTATCGATTATGCATGACAAAAATTAAAGGAAACACAATAATGAATAACACTTACAGCAAACACTGGCGCCCACAAACTAAGAATTGTCAGTGCATTATGATTGTCTGCAGGAAGTATCAAAATAGTTACAAAGTACTCCAAAATAATCCAATTTCCAGATGCAAAATATGACCAAAATAGTATACCACCATGGCATGCCAAGTAACTTTGACTTGAATAAATGTATACATGTTTTAAGCAAGATCTACAAGCAACAACCAAATCTACTAATCGTTGGCATTATGTTGTCCTAGGATCTGATGGATCCCCTCTTCCTAATACAGGCTACGCTGGTCTTGGGTATGTTCTTCCTAATCCCGAGCAAGCTCAAGGATTGGCATTTTTTGAAGGTGTGCAGGAACATCTTAGTATGTTCTGATTCATGGAATGTATCAGATTTCCTGTTTGTCCGTATTTGGTACCTTGTTACCATGGGGCTGTTTTTGATGACATCTCGCAGTTGGCCAGGGTGGTCAATGTCACACTAGAATCATCCGGAGAGATGATTTTGACTGGAAAGATTTTACTAACAACTTTTCCTTTTTGAATTTCAATAGTTAAATGTCTTTACATTTCAAAAAAAAATTAACGTTATAGACATGAGAACCAAAATTTAAAACAAATCCAAGTACTGACTATAAAAACAAACTGCAGAAATATTGTATTTCTTTTCCCTACTTTAGGTATCAAAAAAGGCTGTGTCGTTGAAATGCCCCAGTGACATCACAATAACATTGAACTAACAAGGATTCGGAAAGAATAACATAGACCATAACAAGGATTATGAAAGAATCATTGAAATACAAACAAACACACAGATGCCCATACATTGAGGGGAAGATTTGGAAAGAAGAGAGAAAAAAAAAGGGCACAACTAAACATAAGAAGGTCCAACTAGAGAGAAATTAACTGCTATAACCAACATATTAGTAGTATAGGAAAAAAAACTAAGAGCTATTAACTACCGAATCTACAAAGATGACCATACAACAACCAAAATTTTTTCCTCAAAAAACCAACAAGAAATAATAGATAATACCAGAAAGCTAGATCAGGCTGCCCATTAATTACACATGACAAAGATCAATCAACTTAAGACTGATGGTTGTACCTTGCCAATGTTGATGGCCTATATCAAAGCAAAATGCTATGAGTGGCAACCATGAGAACAATAACATGAATGAAAGACCATAGTGCATTTCAAGCAAAAAAGATCAACATTCGAATTAAAATTCAGATACTTATAAGCATGGTTTGCTAAATCAGAACGATCAATACGGTTTGGCTGGTATTTACGGGTCCAACCACTGACCGATAAACCGACGAGCGCTCTAAACAGACAGTCTGATCTGGTTCTATCTATCAATCTGTCTATCAATATATCTATGTTTTTTATTTTTGCGTGAGAATCAACAAAGATGCAACTATCGACCAATTGTCAACTGCTACCACCCAGAAACAGATGGTCTGGTTCAGATTCTATATATATAATAATATCTTTTCTTTTAACTAGGGTTCAGTTGGGACGTAATTTGTGACCCCTCACATGGTATTGCAGGGAGGTTTCACCCATCACCACCCAAATGGCCGCTCTTGTTCTCCACTCTTATACACCTTCTCTCCTCTACCTTCTCCACTGCCTCTTCTTCCTTTTCCTCCCCTCCTCTATCTCCAACAGCACCATGGTACATTCCAGCATTCAGACACAGTACAACAGAATGGACCAGACCCATACCAGTCTGGTCATGGACCAGCATGGGTCCAGTAACTGATACTGCAAACCTTGCATATAAGAGAACCTTCTAGGGACAAGCAGCAGTTGCATTTGTAAAAAAAATAACAGAACAGTAACTGAGAACCACCAAATTAAGAACTTTATACTCCAAAGATCTATGTGCTTCCTTACTGTGTTAGCCAAGAATCTCAAGCTGACATAATCTGAAAACTTGAAATAGTGGGTCGTGCTATCAAGTTATGAGTTCACGTTTGTAGAGTCAAAAAGGACATCTAATTATGAATTGGACCCTTTTTGGCCTAAGAGTAAAGATTTATCGCCGATAGGCACAGAGGTGAAAAGCTCCAAGGAGTTAAGTATGTTAACAACTTTTATTGTGTTTTTAGTCATATTTGGTTGTGGAGATGCTGCCGACACCCTCGTGTTAGCATTGATATTTACTATGCCATGCTGGTGGCATGTACAGTGCCATCAGCCACTCAAAATAGGGGTGCCAATAGAAGTTAGATTAGTATTTTTAAAAGCGCTAAGTACCAAGGTCCTAAAACACCCGAGATGCTAGAGACTCACCTAGGCACCCGCCCAAGTGAAGTGAGCTGTGCCAGAATATCAAAATTTAGAAAATATTTTTTACCATTGATAAATATGATCTTAAAAAATAAAAATGACAATATAGTTTTGACTGATGGAGACCTATGCTAAGCAGGTACGTATCCAGTGTTAAACAGTTTTAAAGAGTGATCAATATGGTGCTAAACAGTTCTAAAAAGAGGATCAATATGGTAATAAACAGTTCCAAAGAGGGAACTGAGAATAGGAGTATCCGACGGCTGTGGAGGAAGAAGAGGGCAGCGACAACAAATGAAACTGCAAACAAAAGAGGCAGACGAAGGTGGCAGCAGATTAAGTGCAGAGTTCCACTTCGGGTTTGTCTCACTCAAGGGAAAGGGGTTGGTTTAGGGTACATTATTTGGTTCAATTGAACCAATGTCTCACTCAAGGGAAAGGGGTTGGTTTAGGGTACGTTATTTGGTTCGATTGAACCAACTTGCTCGTTCAATCGAACCAGGCTCAAACCCCAACCCAACTTCACTCAGGCGCTCGCCCAGGCACCTTTTGAAAACACTGGGTTATATAACGGTAATATACTACCTACTTTATCATCCTTGAAGGGCACAACTAGTTAAAGCCAAGTGATGATGATCAAAGAAAACTGGCTCTGAGAAATGCTTCAACAAGCCTACAGATATGATCCAATTTAAAAGACGTCTACAGCATCAACATTGCTGACACATCAACAAGGTACATAACACGTAAATATCAATCTGCACTTTGATTCCTCCCAACTCCAACCTCTTTTTCCTACTCACCAACTTAGGCTGAACGCATAACATTCCAGACCATCAACTCCAAAACAATCCCCCTCCCCAAGGTAACATTTCAGCACATGACAAACATGGGTGCAAGTCAAAATGAGAGACCTTCCACACATGTACCTTGTTGTTACTGTAACTAAATGAGTTACACAAAAAAAAACAATTATTTTATGCCACACTTTTGACATCACCAGAATTTAGAAAAATAAAAGTGCCATTCAGTCAAAATACATATTCAGACTATGTTCATTGATTTTTGCAACCAGTGTGTAAATCAACTCCTATCCTGCCAAGAGAAACATTCCCATTATAGCCTTATTATGCAAAACTTGCCTAGTATGGGAATATGGCAACCAGTTTAAATTCGGTAGATCTCACAGCCAACCTTAATCATGCAAAAATATATTTTTTATCCACTAATACAGCAATTAAACATGGTGTATGACAAATCAACCCCACAATTATGCCATACCCATAACTAGTCAAGCTCAAATTGAAAAGCAAAACTACATGAAACATTATGAAATAATACTAAAACATGAAACTTTACTACTTGTTACTTAAGAAAATGACAGAATGCCAAACAGGAGAATAACACCATCTCATAAGGTAACTTTGAAGGAAAAAAGGTAAAATCATAAGCACTTACTCCTAGACACCAAATCATGCCATGAATATTGTAAGTCTTTGAAATTAACAATAGTCTTAGTTGGTGTCACCAATGGCTTGATCTGCAGAGAAATGAGAAAATCTCAATCATATTATCATATGTAGCAAGAGAACCTTAAGTAGTTCAATGAAACAAACCACTTTCCTGGAGAAAATAGGCAAATGAAAATTTACCACCAAGTACCACAAGCCAAAAAAGTACATATCTGCAATTTAGAAACAACAAATAAGAGTACATATTTGAGGAAGCCGTATAAACAGAATTCAAGTAGAAGTTAAATATCAAACCAACCAAACCATGTATTTTTCAAATAACTTCATAGAATTGAAGACTCTAAGTTACAACAGAATTTCTAAGGAACTAACACTAGAAGTCATCATACTCAAAATCAGAAAAGAACTTTCAATATGAGTGTGAAAACAAAATGCTGCATGAACAGATCAACAGCACAAGGACATCATGAAAATCTCACATTACGTCAGTATGATACACATATATTAAGAATCTGCAACTATTTGCAATTGGAAAAAAGATAAGACGGGTGCACCCATTGCACGAGACTCCCGCCAATGTGGGATCGGGATTTGGGGAGGGTCAATATATGCAGCCTTTCCTCTAAATATAGAGAGGTTATTTCCGTGACCCAACATATTTAGAGTATTTAAATATTTATTTATAAGGTCTTTTTCAATATTCATTTGTCTCTTATCGTACTACTAACATTAATTATTGCACCTTTTTTACAACCCACCAGATCCATCTGTTCTTACTACCGCATCCATGTCTCATAAGCACATAGATATTGTACTGTATTGAAATAGCATATCAAGAGAAGTATTCAGCCTAGGGAACAATTTCACAAACAATTTTTGGCACACATCACAAGAAAGATGCTTACTTAATATAGTCAGTGGTCCTCTCGTACATGCCACGTCCAACATAGAATTGTTCCTTGACATAAAGAAAAAGCAGTCTCACTTGAACAGAACAAGTAGATAAAGAAACTAAAAGCTCAAGAGACGAAGATCAGGAAGCCTCGCAAAATATGAACCTGGTGCAGCCATTTCACAAGACGCAGTACAGACCAACGATAACATAAATCTGTCAGATGATGGCAGAATGGAATTCGCACAAGGAAGCCAATGAACAACTTGAAAGCAGCATATATTCCAACTATGAAGACATATATTCTAAAAGCAGCAGAATTGGAACCATCCTGGAGTGCTTTACTGAAAAAAACAAATGCCATTTCATAAGCTTATCAAAATCTATCACCATAAAAGACAAAAAAACAACCCATAAGCACATCAAATTCAATACCAAAAGAAAATTAGAGAAAAAATTCAGAAAACAGAGAATAAAATAAAGTATTGAATCAACGTACATATATAAGTAACAGACGACAAATGAAGCAACAGAAAACCATAACACACGATAAAATATTCGGGCAACAGCTGATCGACGTGATGTAGAATATGCACCATACATCATAAGTACATCCATCACACCTGTCAGAAAATTAACATAATGATAAAAAATAATATTAAAAAATCTCAGTGGTTCACTGGGTACCAAGAAACATAAATGTTTACAAACTTACTTTCTATAAATTTCATCACAACATACGTGGGGCCCAGGCTAAGGACTAGCTTAATGGTTTTCCAGTTAAGCTTACCACCATTGAAGGCGATGATCGTTAATCCCTGAAAGATATATATATATAAATAAGTACAAATTGATTAAAAGAATGAACTAAAGCAAAGAGCAAAGTAGCTTCTGATTAAAAAGAGTTGTTTCAATGTGCAAAATCAAAATTGTAGTAGAATCCCTTTGTTAAACATAATAAATGGTTAGAATCCCTTTGTTCAACATAATAAATGGTAGCCACAGTCATGATAGATTGGGAACAGATATGATAACCCTAGAGATAAGCAGCTCTCACAATAATGACAGGCATACACCATAATCTAAATTTAGCTTTACATAAGGAACAATTGGTAGTTATCCAAGCAATTAAAGAAAAAAGTACCAATATAAGGGATAAGTTTATAATGATATACCATCTCATTGCCCGAAGGCCCCAAACAATATTAATTTATGAAGAATATCACAGCAGAAGACAAAAATAACAATTAAAACATTTAGTATAAAATTAGGTTGTATGGCTCTTAATCAACCAATATATAAATGTAAATAAACTAGGAATGTTGGCAATGCTCAAGTTTATGATATCAGCGAATTATAATGGAAAAAGGGAAAACATGATCCAACATAAGAAATTGTCAGACAAAAAACAAATTGAAGCCAAACAGATAGAATCTCTGGAAATCAATGAATCTTTGACACAGACAAGGCTCAAGCATGAGAAAGAAAATTATTGTGGCTGATTAAGCAACGAAGAAACCTGTGTGACCAATTCTCTTGCTCAAAATGTCATACAGAGGGCAATCAAGCAGCACACTGGACTGTTACACAAGGAAGAAAGGCTAAGGATGAAGTTTTTTTGGAAGGATGCTTTTCCATTGAATTTTGCAACAATTTGCACACTGACCTGATAAGATATTATTGTAGACTGATACTAGTTAATATAATTCATACTCTCTTTGGAAAAAAGAAATTGAAGCCAAATAACTAGACATTTTTAGTTGAAAGGATGTGGATCCAGAACATATTGATCACCATAAGTTCTAGATGCAGACAGTCAGATCAGTTCATAATTAAGTGAAAAAAACATTTTACAATAAATATTGTTTTGATTGGCCTAAAACATTTGGCATATACTTCTATCAGTTGGAATATTTGTGAAGCAGATGACTATCAGCATGCTGATTCACATATTAAAATTTGGCATCCATGTCTATTATCAAGAAAGGCAGCTTCGGAGGCCAGAATAAGATGAATGCAGCAAGTATGAGTTAGGAGACCTAAAAAAATGTCACATTTAGACTTAGAACAAAATTATAATAATTCATCATAGTCCACTCATCCAAGAGATGCACCTGCCAAATGCACTGGCATATGTTAGAAGAGGAAATCATGATGCAAATTTAATTACCAAGTTAAACATCTGCTAGAAGAAATCTCTTGATAATACTGTTGCCAACTCAAAATTTTGAAAGTAGATAAAAAGGCAGGAAAAATGAACCATTATAATCTATAGACCTGGAACATCATAAAAAGAAAGATCCAGAGTCGATGAAAACTATGATAAAGATGTAGGAAAGTTCGGTGCTCCACAAAAGATGTTTTCCCATAATGCTTCCCTCCACCAACAGATAGCAAACCCTGCAGGGAAGGATTTACCAAGTCTAAGAAAGAAAACTTATATGAAGCAGCAAAAGAACATTCCCAACTAACACAAATACAATAAACAAACATAACAGCAAGTCCAGCAAAATGGATACCTTGAAGTCAAAATTTCAAGCATACTTTACAGATTTAATGAGACGTTTTGCTTCAGAAAGCTAGCTAGCAAATTCCTATTACAAAAACATATAAAAAGATCCAAGAGAAAAATAAATATATCAGCATTGCTAGTGCATAAAATTAAAAAAAGTTGGCCAGCTCCTGTCCCGAGAAAATCAATTTAATTCATTATAGTTGATTTATTTACAAAGAACCATGACGAGCATATAACTCTGATACTTCATTTAGTTCCCCGCCCAAACATTCTACTCTGTACATGCTAGTATAGTTAAACAGCAGCTAATGTGCACAAACACTATCACCCAAGCTAAGAATGAAATGATGAGAATGATATATCAAATTGAACTTCAATGATCCACAACAATCTACAACTAAAATGGATTCACTGACTGATGAAATGGACACTATAAATAGAGTGGAACCTTCTGCAGGATTACATTGCTGGAAAAATTGCAAAAAAGCACCTAATTAGATGCATGTACACAAATTAAAAAGCAGAAAAGAAACAAAATTTGATCTGGATTTGAAGTGTCAGTATAACAAAAAGAAAAATATCCAAAATATAATATAGCACTGACAGACCATTGTCTTCTTGTTGGGCTTCAAGAAAAATGGTGAGCTAAGATTCCAAGGCCAGCTAAGCTTAAAACATCGAAGAGACCTAAGAAAAAAAATGAATCAACAAATAGTGCAGTAAAAGAAGGTAATAATTCACATCTTTCAGAACCTTACTAAGAAAAGTAAAGCATCTGAACATACCAAAAAAATTCATTGAAATCATCATAGTTTCTCCAAGCTGAATGTGCTGCCCGCCCATTGTCATTGTTTGCCGCTTCCTAAATTAGACAAAGACATGAGCATAAAGAAATTAAAAATGAGAGGTTACAAAAGAAAAAAAATGGATCAGAATTTCCAATAGTGCCTAGTACAGTATGGTATGGGTGGCATTTATCAATTCCACAGCCTCTCATACCAGGGTAAACCTGGCAATATGCTTGACACAGGGATTGTACTACCCAGTATATGATAGTACAGGCCATGTACAGGGCTTTTTTTATGTTCTTTTACATTATTTCAGTCTTTTTTTCCAAAACTTTGTAAATACCCATGTGCCAATACTCAGTACACTGGCATGGACCATTGCAGTATTGTCCATTCCGTATTGGTGCTGATCCAGGTCCTGATCAGTACCTACTGGTCTAGGTCCTGATCGCCATGGAACAGGCCCAGGTCCTGACTGGTACAGTACTAAAATATTAAATTGTAAACCTTGATTTCAACCATAGAAGTAAATTTATGTCGAAAGCCATATTAACCGCATAGACATTTCAGGCCAAAAATGTGAAAGTACAAATTTAACCACAAACTAAGTATGCTAAGATCCATTAAAATGAATTATTTTTTTATGGCGAACACTTCTTAGTTTATTTTTTGATAGAGGATGTTCATCTACAATGCTGGGTCACACCCCTATCAAGCCAAAAATAGCAAAGCACATCCCACTTGTTTCTTGCATGAAGAAGTATCTATTTTGATATCCACAGTAAATCATATCCCCATATTTGTCAAGCTAGTTCACCATTTCCCACCATGTAGCATAATCCAGTCATCATGCCTCCACTCACACACTCATACATGTTTGTAATCAACCATTAACTCATGCATGTTCCTCGCACTGTACCTCCAAACTGAGTTGATCACCTTCTCTTGCCTATTAACCTATGGCCTTCTTTTGACAAATCTAAACCATTTTAGTAAGCTTTTCCTCATCACCCTCTGTCTTCGACCAACTTCAACCTGACAAAAGGTCCGTCACACAATTATGCCTTTCACATGTACAATAGCGATTCATCTCAACATCTAACAGATAGTTACACCAACTTTTGCAGTTTTTGAATCTGAACCGCAGAAAATTATAGCGTAATACACTTGGTCATGGCTAACCATGGTATTCTCCAAGCAATCTAAAAGGCCACAGAGACAACCCTAGCCATTTCTTTGGGGCACTTGAATATTGAATAGCCTTTCCATGAAATACCAAGCCCAATCTTCACAAATTTGTCAATTAAAAACTCCATCACCTAACCTGGAAGAAAATCCTACAAGTTAAAATTATCTTGAAGGTTCCAAGTCCACCTTTTCCATATATGGCCACAACATGTCATTCACAGGACACAATAAGTAGTTCCCAATCTAGATAGAGAGTACCTACTTTATTAAAGAGGGAAAAAAAGCAATATTTCCTGCCGTTGCTAATGGTAGAACCAAGATTGTTTTTTCTTGGAACTTGGCATCTTAAACCATGGAGATATTGCACAAACTCTCCTTAATACTCTTAAGATAATATAGATCATGTACCAATCCCCACATAGTAGATGACGATATTTATCTGAATTCTGAACAACCAAACTAATAGAAGCATAAGTACAGTGGAGCTTAATAAAAAATATTTGAACGATCTGTCACGCCTTAAACGGGAGAAGGGTCATTAAAGAGCTTTGGACCTTCATCCAGTTTGAAATTCTTGAGCACTTAAAGGAATTAGATGCAAGCATCAAATACATAAGTAGCAGACTGTGATCGAAAAGACACAGAATAAGAAGCAAGCTTTCAAATATCAGTTGGACTGGTATGTACCAACTGGTATATATCGCAAGGACCTATATATACTGCTCTGACCAAGGACTGATAACAGAACATACAGATTAATATTAGTCAATATCTTTCATTATTTACTCTGGTGATACCAAGCAACACGTCATACCATCCGGTATACCAGTATGATACTAGACTAACCAGTCAAGGAAACTGGCATCTTGTATGAACTGAAATTTAAAATCCTTGGTTAAAAGCAGAACAAATTTCATAAATCACATTAAATTAACTGAATATGGCTATTAAATTTATCTGCATATGAACAACCAAAGCCTTCAATTCACCGGATGCTGCTATAAACATCTATATCATAAGAAAGAACTAAAATAAGAAAGAAAATTGAGACTTACAGCAACTATTACTTCATATAGAGGGGAAATAACTCGACCAAGAAATGATACTCCATCTGGAGTAGTGCAACTGTTTGCAGGTTGTGCAATTGGTTCACGCATTATCCCCTCTAATTCTCTTGCCATCTTTTCAAAAATTGAAAGGCTATAATTAGATAAAGTACTAAAATATTCTAACATAAGAACTTATGAACAAAACCGAACTCAATTTAACACAAAACAAAGTTATCTAATTATAACTACATACACAAGGTGGAACACACTGAGAAAAAGAATTTAAAAATCTGAATTTAATAATGCAAGTAACTAATTTCATGAAATACACACCCTACACATCATTTTCTCACACCAAACAGGCAACCGCCCATACAGAACTCATTTTGTAAAAAAAAAATTTAAGTTACAAACTTACAATAAAGGGAAATAGGAAATCAAGTGGAAGACGAAAATCATAGGAGACCTCAAAGTTCTCAAAATTAAACACGCAAAAAGAAGCACCCAATATCCAAGTAAAAGAATCACAACATAGTTTCTTGCGTCAGCTCAAACAGGAAACAAGAACAGCAAAGTACATCCCAAACTAATCTCCAGGATAGCATTGTAACTGTCAACCTCAATACACTACATGCTTTTTGAGTCTCCGTTGTCAGGAGTTGGATTTGGATTGGCTGAAGGGGAAGGAGAAAATTGGGTTTGGGATAAGCCAAGGGGTTTGGATCATCCAAGCCAGCCCAGACAAATGCCTGGGAAGCCTAGTGCCATACCTAGGGCGGTTGCCCAGTTGGAGGAACCTAATCTAAGGTCCATCAAGGCACCTAGGCAAATGCCTTGCTGTGTTAAGCCTCATCAATAAATAACTTGGTCTTCAACAAGAGACCCACCTTGAGTATAAGCCTACAATAAGGTACTGAAGCATCAGACATGTCATTCCAAACAATGTAATAGAGCTATATGTTTCCTTTTCTCAAGATCATTATAACCTAAAAGGTAGCATGCTTGTGTGTTCTTAAAAAATAAAGCATAATGTGGTATCTTTCCAATATAAAACATGTAGTGTTGACATATACATTGCATGAAAATTGAACATTAGTGACAACAGAGACTCAAAAAGCAGTTCAAATGAATCTGGAATCAGACACCTCCTGGTAAGGGTCCATAACTGGTAGCTTCAATTGAATCCCAAATATTTTATAATGTGCATAGAAATATTAAGCTATTCTTGGACTATATAATCATTCATCATCTATATGCTGTGATTGATATGAAAGAAGTTTGTTAAGATCCTAAGATGTCTAAACTGATGGTAGAAACGACCTACATATGCAAGATACTAAGAAGTAAAACCTAACGATTTGATGCAACAATCAAGACAAAACAGCAGCAATAAAACTTTGCACAAAATGCAGATATGCCTAAGATTAGACATCTTAGTTTGAATGGGTAAGGAGGCAAGATATACAAACAAATGAAAACCACACGAGGCATTCAACATATGTTTAAACTTAAATAAAGGGAATTCTATCATATGAGATCCTGTCAGCTGAATCAAAGAAAGCGTGTAGGCATTCAGTATATCTTTTTTTCCCCTCCAAAAGATTACTTAGTTGACAAACTGCTGAACAGCAAAGTAAGTCAGAAGTTTTACGACAAATATTCAATGTAACTATTGAACAGATACTTAACTTATTGGCTTGATTACACGTCTAAATAAAAAATTATGGTAATATAAATATTCTCTTTCGATCATAAGAGCCTTTAGTACCAGCCAACCAGTTAGAAAATAGAAGCATAAAAAAAGCAAATGTATGAAAAGTTAAATAAGAAAATGGTGACTAGAACTTAATAAAAGTAATATAACATATGCATGAGAAAATTTCCACTAGAATTCGACCAATTGGAGCTCTAAGGAGTTCTAAACTACTAAGATTTGCATCAGCAATCAGCTCGAGTCTTTATGTTTTCATACAAGTAATGGATGAATTTACTAGGAATATTAAAAAAAATAATGATGAGTGTGGTTTGTTGATAACAATGTTTTGATTGCTACGAGTCTATTTGAGATAAATTTTAAACATGAATTATGGCCACAAATGTTAGAAATTCGAAGTTTCAGATCAAGTAGGTTCAGAGACTTTTTTTTAACTTGAATTGTGGACAAAAATGATAGATATAGAAATTTCAGATTAAGTAGGCCAAAGTCCTAATATATGATTGATAACTTTAGCAATACCAGGAAAACAATTAAGATTTACTCAAAATAGATGGACAAGAAGTTATGAGAAGCAAAAGTTTTATATGTCTAGAATCTATTGTTAAGGTACATCTTTGAAAACATTATTCTTAAATATAAATTGATATGGTTAAAGTGGAAATGAGAGTCCATAATGGTTGTGTAACCATTATGTGTTCTTTAGATGAAAAAGAAACTTCCATAAAAACATTGTTAGCGAGCTACGCATGTAGATCGTGTTATGCACAACAGCACAAAAACATCACTTAAGCAATGATATTGAGATGGATGTAGAATACCAAAATTGATAAAACAAGAAACATCTACATCCCTAAATAACAAGGGATAGTTCCTACCAGAACTTAATGAGAAGAACTCCTTGACACAATGGTGGGAAAGATCAGTGTGTTGACCCTGAATAGTTGGGACTATAGATGTTCTAGTTGTATATAGGGGTAGCACAAATTTAAAGAAAAAATAAAGATTGAAGCATTCGACTATAACTCAATAGTACAAAAAGCTGCACCAAGATTTAAAAAAATAAATTGCAAGAAAAAAAGCTTATGCACAAAGAAGTTACCATCAAAGATTTTTTTCCTACGAATGTAACATATGATTAGTTGGATCTACTTACATGATGAAATATATAGCATATACACTCTGGAAGAAACCTAATGTTGGCAGCTTCTCCCCATATCAGGAAGTATAAACTAACAAACAACAATTTCTTTTCTCTGCTGATGTTATCAATACTGCATAAAATCCAATGTATAGCCATTAAAAAAACCACTGATAAAGGGAAAACAAACAGAAATAAACAAGGGGAATATGCCACAAGATCAAATTTGTACTTATTCCAAACAGGCTGAAGAGGCAAATAGTTGCACCATTTTGTATAGTTTTCAAGAGACTTCTTGAAGACACTATTCACAGCAGTCTCATCTATTTTCTGCCCAAATAAGGATAGTTTTACAAAGCATGAAATAATTCACTTTCAAATTTGAGAATTCAAAAATAATTATGCTGATAAATAAAATAAGAACAATGAATGAACAAAATTCAGAACAACTAAAACAAAAGACAGGTTAACAAATAAATAACAAGCTGAAGCAACCCTACATGAACAAGGGAAAAGAAAACTAGTGTATTACTAATAGATTAAGCAGTTTCCAGAAAAAGACTGATTCCAAATTTATACGCCAAAAATAGTATGATAACCAAGTTCAGGAAAGACTACCAAAATTGCAAAAGAACATTTAACATATTTTATATTGATGTACTAAGATTTGATATCTTATAAATAATCTGGGTATGAAAATATTTTATAATTTTCAGGTCTCCACCTAATCAGTAACAAATCCCCCTGTGACCTCGGCAGAACTGGCCTTCCAAGTTCAAGGAGAAACAAAAGGGACAAAATGATCAGTGTCCATTTCATTCCTGCTTTATGTTTCTTATTTAACTCTTAATAAAGGAATGATTTTGTGAATAATACAATCTAAAAGAAAAGATATTTTTCAAAAATGTAGTAATTTAAATTCCAGAAATGACTAATGTGATAGTTCTCTGCAGCCTAGATGAACATTTTTGTCAAAAAATATTCCTCATCCCCTAATTCGACCAAAGTCAAAATGTTTTGGCACAAATTCTTCACATAAGAAATATCAACCGCATGAAGAAATAATAAAACTAGAACAGTAACACTCTTTCCAGAGGGTAGTACTTAGTACAAATTATTCATGCATTACAATCAAAAGATACCGACGCATCAAATTTAGAATAACAGGCAATATGCAATATTTGATAGATCATATTCAAAAAAGGACTAAGAAAAGATACTGGTAATAACCAGCAAATGAGGCCCTACCTAAAATATTACTCACATGATATTATCAGCTATTTACGACAAAGATTGTAATTTCGTACCGCACCAAAGTTTCGATCTCAGCTCGGTATGGTACGGTACGAGCATACCATGTGATACGCTTCGATGTATCACTCGATATATTTATATATAATAAAAAAGTTAAAAAATAATGAAAAAAAGGCGACATAGTCTCATTTCTTCTCCCCACATGGGGAGAAGAAACCGAGGAGAAGAATCGATATATATATATATATATATATATAATAAAAGGTTAAAAAATAATAAGAAGGAGAAGAAACCAAGGAGAAGAGGTTTCTTCTCCAGTTTCTTCTCCCCGCGTGAGGAGAAGAAATCGAGCGTTCTCCCCGCAAAGCCCGGACGACATCGCTGAAGCTTCTTCTCCCCACACGAATGAGAAGTCGTCAACAATGCCGAGGCCTCGTTGCCTCAGACGAGAAGGAGGCGACATCTTATCTGCATCGTTCGGCGAGGGAGGGTGGCGACAGATCGAGATCGTCGAGGGAGAGCAACGCCAAATCTTCAAGTTCTCCTGTTTCTTCTCCCTCTTCTTCCTTCTCCCTCGGCTAATACCGTCCGATAGCGGGCAACGACAATCGAAATCAACCGTTACTGACCGATTTCGAGCGATAACGGGACAAAAACAACCCCAATCGACGGTACCACCCGGTAGCATGTGGTATGTGTATCGATCTGCTGGCAGACCGATATATACTGTCTGGTACGGGCGGTATCATTCAAAATTAAAATCCTTGATTTACAATTCCCAATTGTCAATCGTAACAATCAAAATAGATACAACCTGATTATCAGTCAGCATCCTTCTAATAAGTTTACCCCTCAACCAAATAATTTCATTCCAAAGTTGTCCAAAGACTCCAAACAATATGTTGGTACATGAGTTTTTTAAAAGAGTACAAAAACAAAGATCTATTAAATCCGTAAGTGAAAAAGATAAATCTACAACACCAATGCTGAGTATTGGTTTATTATAAAGTCAAATAGAAGGTATGCCATAAATCTAGGCAGCAACAACTGAAGGAAATAAAATTTCACCAAGCAGAAACAAAGTGATAGTCTCAAGTTTCTCAAACCTAAAATACTAATCTAAGATAAAAAAGACAATTACTAATGAAAGTCCAAAATTTGCAATCTTAAGCAATGAACCAGTACCTCCTAAAAAGAAAACATTGTTTTTGCGAATCTTAAGCAATGAACCAGTACGTCCTAAATATACATCGTCTCAAACTAAAAACAGACAACCAGAATAATTAGAAGATCCAAGAAATCTTTGCACCTTGCCAAGGGTATTGATGTTTCACTTTCCAATCAAATATAAGCAGACAACCATGCAACGTGGCAGCACCAAGGAGCTCCAACAAAGCTGTCTGCTTTGTGAAAAGATATGCAGGATATTCTTTAAAAAATCTAATAAACCTCCCACTGTATATAACTCGTATTTTGTCTTGCAATCTTCATTTTAAGTGAACAGAGCCATAATTTCCTCTACCAATATAGTGAGAAAAGGAAGACAAAGAAAGATAAGGGCACATGCCCCAAGGATTGTCATATCAACACAATGGAGTCATATAAGCATACCTTTCAAGCACAGTACAATTCCATGTCATGACAGTTGACACCGTTGTTAATATGATGGCACCTCCAACACAGGTAAGCATAACCTGTGTCAATATTCCAGGATGGATTTTAACCTATGCCAACACATACCAATCAGCACAGAAATCTTTGGCGTCACATTGGGGTAAGTGGAAGACCATTGATGACAAGTACCTAAAAATAAAGTACAAAAGAACATTTTGTTTTCCACTAGCCTCATTTATTCTTTTCCCTACCTTTATTTTCGTACTTCCCAACCTATGAGAACCCATCTTTCTCATTACACAGAAAACAAACCATGCAACTAAGGCAATCCACACTGCTTCTACCTGCTGTCTTTTGTCTTAATAAGTTAAGAAGCACATTGACCTATGAATATATGTGACATTTACTTATTTAGTACATAATCATACACTTTCCTGGTTTTCATTTATAATCTCGAAGATTTTTCACTTTGATTGCTAAATTGCCAAATGATCCCCGGTCACATAGACTATGAGTAGTCTCTTGATGACCTATTTGATGCCCACAGCTTTTTCAAACATTGGTCAATCAAGGTTCTCCATTCCACTAGTACGGTACGAAACAAGCAGTATGTACCAGTCCATGGCGGACGGCACTTCAAGCAATTTGATTTGACCAATAAGAAAATAAAAAAAACTTGGAAGTGTTTAATTTGTGAGAGCCCTCTTCTCCACACTGTCACAAACGGTCGCCGTGTACTCGCAACAACTTCGTTCAACGAACCGTTCATCGCTTTTGCATGCTTGAACAGAGACATTGCAGCCTGTTTTGCCTTAGTTTTGTGTGCTTTTGTTTGTAAAAATACATGTTCGAACGGTTTACAATGCACAGTGCAACCGCTCACCATGCCAGGCCAAAAAGCCCCAAAATGGCTCTGTTTTCGCGTGTCGTGGGCTATTTTCTGTAGCCCGCTACAACGCGCGAAATGTCAGCCATCTCAGCACCCTGGAACCCCCCGAGTGGCACAGGGCTAGATGGGGATTCGGTATATTGTCGGGCGTTGAAAAATCTTCACAAGTTCGCACGTTGACTTGACGGGAACTTACCTTCGCGTCCGGCACCCGGTGAGCAGTTGTTTGTGGACTTGCAACTGTTCATTCTACCTTCTAAAGTCCTTGTTTTCCTCCTTCCTCTTTTTTCTCTTGTGCACACAAGGTGCTTGCTGAATTGCTTGTAAAGCTTCCCCTCTTTGCGAGACGTCGAGACTTGTCCGTCGCTCATTTTCAATCTAATCAACTTTCTATTTTACAGGTCCTTCGGAACCTGTACGAGGTTGTAACTAGGCTGAACCTTTGCAGACGCATATGTCGCAAAGGCGCCTCAAGACTTAGGCAATCATAGCAAAGTCTGTGAAGTTGCCGCAAAGGTACGTCATGACTTAGGCAACTCAAGCTAAGTTCGCGTCTTTGCCGCAAGGATGCCTCACGACTTAGGCAATTCCAGCTAAGTTCGTGACAATACGTGGGGGGTACAGAATCGCTCCTGAGCCGCTATCGTGGAATGTCACCTACCTCCCGAATATGTTGTTAGCGAGGGCTCTTATCCATACATCGGGGGAATGGAAACACCCCCGACCCATTGTCATCCGACACCGCCTACCCTCCCTGTTGCTCGCTATCGTTCATCGCCCACACCCCCGAGAAGCTTCTTGCTATTCTCCTCTTCTTCCTCTTCCTCTGCTTTCTCTTATTCCATCTTCCTATTCCTTCACTGTCTCCTCTTCCCACTTCTTCCACTTCCTCCACATTCTCCTCTTCTTTGTTCCTTTGCATTCCTCTTCCGGTCTCCTTCATCACACCTTTTTCCTCTTCGAAACACCAGTACCTAGTGTAGATACACTGGTACCAACCAACACGTACCAGTCTGCTACCGATCAATACATACCAAGCTGACCATGTCACCAATATGAGTTGCTTGCTGAAACAAATACACAGAAGGCCTAAGAACAAAAATACAAGAGATGACAAAAAGAGGGAATGTGAGCAAGAATTAATCAAAATTGTCAACATAATACTGTACCTATCTAAGAACCAAAAAACTTACAGGTTCACTGCCTAAAATACTCCCAAATCTCGACTGTTCATTGGCAAGAAGATGAACGACATGTTCTCGTTGGTTGCTGACATTATCTTTCTGCATAACAAGTAAACACCACACTTCATTAGCCAATTTAGTGCATTTATCACAATGTTCGTTCCTACAGATTGAAAGGCAAAAGAGACAAATAACATTTTTTTTAAAAGTATGGCAATATAATGAAGAGTATTACAAGGCAGCAAAATAAGTATTTTCAAGGATCAAATTGTTGAATTACTGCATTCACATCGAGTATTTTACTCCTATAATACTATAGCAACAGCCTCCAACAATTATAGACATGGTTCAAAAAGCTTGAGTGAAAGTGCATTCAAGTTAGTTCTCTGATGCAAGTAATTGATTCAAGTTAGTACTATAAGGTAGACTGTTACTGCCATTTCTAGGACAATGCTATTAAGGTCATTTAATAAAATTAACAACTGTTGGAGCAACAAGCAGCTGTTATTAACAACCAGTACCCGGCTATATATTCACTAGGCAATTTGAAGACTATCCTACTTTGTTGTCTCTAATCATGTTGTCAGTGAACTTCATCTACCTTTCTCACACCTCACAACTGCAACTGACTACTTGACCTTACTTTCATCGACAAGCACAGACAAAATATCAACAACAATAACAAAGTCATAAGTTCCATCTATTCGGGTTGACTAGATGGATCTTTTGCCGCCATATGTACAAAAGTTAAGTTCGAATACTTTAAATCATTATTTATATTTTATAGTTTCTATTAAAGTATTTTCAGGTCTTTCTCTATCTCTCCTTATACCACTAACATTAATCATTTTACCTCTTTTGACTACCGCATTCGAAAGTGTCCTAAGCACATGCACATACCATTTTAAACGATTTTCTCTCATCTTATCCGCTCTCAAAACGATGCTTAGTTATTGACAAATAAAAGTATTTATTTTCCTATCTTTCCTAATAACTCTATACATCTATCTCAACATTCTCATTTCGACAACACAAACTTTATATATATATTATTTCTTAACTGCCCAAACACTTAGATGCAAAAAATATTATTGATCTCACAACTATCTTATAAATTTTATCTTTTAAAGTCAAAGGTATCTAATGATCATACAAGACTCCTGATGACCCTCGTCATTTTAATCATCATGTTTTTACTCTATAAATAATATCCTCATCTTAGTGAATAATTGATCCAAGATACCTAAAGCTTTTACTTAAAGGATCTTCTTGTCCATCCAATTTAACTATATTCTCCTATCTATTTCTAGAATCACTAAAATTGTATTTTATATATTCAGTTTTAATTCCACATAATCTTAAAACCTTTAATTTATAAAGCTTGTCTCCATAGCTCAAGTTTATAATTAATTCTACATAGGCTCTATCATGTAAGTGACTATTAAATTCATCCATTATCAACGTGAAAAGGTAAGGACTTAATGTGATTCCTTAATATAATCCTATACTAAAAGGAAACTCATTAGATACATTCTCTATAGTTCTAGCGGTAGTAGTTACATTATCATATATATTTAATAACGTCAATATAATTAGTGGATACACGCTTCTTTTCTAAAACTCATCATAATAAATATTTAGGAACCCAATCATAGGCTTTTCTCTAAATTAACAAGTACAAACCATCTCAGACTTATTTTAAAACTTTAATATGTAAAATGATCATTTATCTTATTCCCCATCATGAGCATTCTTTTTTTTTTCTTTCAAAGGATAAGTGACGAAGGCGAAATTCAAGCCCATGACTTACAATAAACTATCAAAGTCTTTAGCAACTAAGAACCAATTGATACCTTTTATGACATGACACCTTCAGCCATATAGATGAACATAATATTCATCTGCATTCATGTCGACATGGTTGCTTGTCGAACATCCAGACCAATAAAAAAAAAGAGAATCATAATTAATCCATAAACTTTCCTTACACCTAAAAGGGTATACGATGATCACATATCATCAATATCACTTTTACACTTGATGTCATTATTAACTTTGTAATCCTCATATGCAAATTATCCTCTAAAATCTATCCTTGTTATTGAACCATAAATCAAAAAACAATAATGTTTTCTACTCTTTGAATATTTTTGTCACTATAAGCTCTTCATTTCTTATGTTCATGTCAATGAATACGCATTTTGTTTCATTTGTTGGTTCAGACTAGTTCCAACGTAAACAATAAGCAGGACAAGACTATTCTGCTAAGAAATCATCATTATAAACTCGAGTCATTACAAATAATAGAAATATAGTTTAAGACAATAAAATACGAAACATATGTATTTATTTGAGACTAGACCTGTTTGTGACACGAGAGGTAAGTCAACAAAATCTCAAATTCAAATAGATTGATCTTTTCGTTTGCTTAAGAAAATATAGATGAGAATTCAAAAACACGTAACTCAAAGGAACCTAATCTTAAGTTTAGAACCAAACCACAACCATAAGCTCACTTCTTCATTTCATCCTTAATATAATACTAGGTTTTGAGACCTAAACAGGATCCAAACTGTCATGACCTTAATTAGCATCCATTCCATCTCCTTGCGCCTGTTGATGCTTGCACTTCTTATCACAACTTGTATCATCTTGCATGTGTTATAGACTGCTATGAGCATTGCTCTAAACTTTCATTTTGGCTGATTGGCAACAAATGGGTCAACCAGCATATGTATATTGTTTTAGATACTATGTTACCTTTGTTGTGGCTTAACAAGCAGTGGCATAGTATCCATCAGTGCTTCCAGATATTCTGTAACCTTCTTAGGTTTCCGAATCAGTTTCACATGCTTCTTATGTAAAACATTTGCTGACCATTTTATATTGAGGTTCAAAAATATGAAAGAAAACACTTCAAAACAACCTCTAGCTGACTCAATCACCGTCCATCATGTTCATCCATTTTCATGATTTAATCATCAATTTCTCCAGATATGCCAATGGATAACTGAAGAACATGAATCAGGCCCCAGCTTCCACTTCATGCAGCACAGATCAGAAGAACAAATGCAATAAGGCTGCTTAGGACAAAGTCTCAGCTAGATACAAGGGCTGGTTTGCTAAGTGTAAAGGAGTACGAGTAGTGTCTTGAACAGCAAAAAACATAGTTGAACTTCAAGAGAATTGCTATGTCATCATACTGAACACCATGCCACCCATATCTACCATTCTGATTATGGACCAATATGTTTTTTTTTGTGATATCAAGGTGGTATATACATATCTTACCTAATCATATATTACCAAAAGTGGTATCAGAAAGAGATTTAAAACCTTCAGCTATGTAATAAACAAGAGATCAGGTTTTTGATTTATGAATCAGGTTTGAAGTTTGAACTGCTTTTAAGCAAAAATTATTAAGGCAATATACTTTTTCAAGCACCAAAAAAAAACACTAATAGCACAAGATTTGTTGCCTAAAAGAGAAAAACAGTAAGGAGAGAAGAACAGTGGAACACAGAAAAAGAGTGAAAGGTTTGAGGATAAACTGAAACAATTTACTCATTTTATACTATAATACAGCTCTCTATTCTTCAACTGATAACCATTTGATTTGGAGATTTCATCAACTTTTTAGTTCTAAAATTACTAAGCAAAACTTATGACACAAGACTTTCTATTTCTGAAAAATGTTAAAACACTTAAAATGACAACTGAATCCCGGATAACTTTCAAATCTGACTTGAGACTTCTACAACCCAATTTCAGACTGCAGTCGTTTGTAGCTGGAGCTGAATAGTTGTGCCTTCTGTCTCTCCTTTCTTTTCTTCATTCCAAACTTCGTTCGCATTACTTTTTCATTTCATGGCATCATACACATATGGTCTCAACAAAGCAAGTTCCGGTGGCAAATACTTTGCGACTGCAACAAGCAGAAAGCAAATCGCCTAAAGTAGTTTCCAACATACTAGACAACGCTGACTTACAAGACAATATAAATAAGATGAGAAAGCGGCATATCATCAACATAATCTCAAATTCTATTGTTGCCGCTCCCACTGTCGTCGCTCTGTCACGAACGGTCATCGCGCACCCGCAACAACTCCGTTCAACGAACCGTTCGTCGCTTACACCTGCATGTACAGCTGCTTGACAGCATGTTTTCTCTTGGTTTTGGGTCATTTTGCTTGTAAATATGTAAGTTCGAATAAGCTGCAGCGTTACAAAGCGACCGCTCACCGAACCGAGCAAAACAACCCCAAAACAGCCCAAAACAGCTCCGTTTTCGCGTGCCGCGGGAGGTGAGCGGAGAACTGCCTCCGCTCACCAAAATGTCAGCCATCTCAGACCCTAGGAACCCGGGTGGCACAAGGCTGGATGGGGCTTCGGTT